TAGGGAAGTCTCACTTCGCTGTCTTCAGCTCTTGCAGGCAACGGCTGCATTAAGCACACACCAAAGGCCTCCTAAGCCTGAATCACATTGTTAAGGAAGTCAGTTGAATATCTGGGTGGTGCTTTTAAAGATATTACATGTATAGCTTCAGAATACCCTACCCTGGCCTCCTGTTCCGAGCCACCTCCCAAAGGAGATTTCTCTTTCCACTGAATACAGGGAACCTTATATTGTTATAACTTCAACTCTAGGAGCCTAAATTGTAAATGCTTTGGAAGGAAATTGCTGGAGGTGTATTTGTCATTGTACGAACTAGAATGTGACATTTCTTGAATATGCATTACATCGTAGAAAAGCACGATATGATTTACTAAAGATTTTTCAAACATCCAAGTTGAGTTCTCATTGAGCAATATTGCACAGAGGGAGATGTTGGGAATTAAAAACAACACAATATTTAATTGTCCACAGAAGGAGTTCACTAAGGCAAACAGGTCTAAGTTAGTGAGAAAAAATGCTAAGCTATTACATAGTGTGCCAGTTCCACTGAATCAGAGTATTGCACTGGAGATACATTCTGTCAAAACATTTTCAACCAAGACTAACGAGGATAGCATTCGAGTAAAATTAAAAGGGAGTAACTCCATCAATTTTCCATTAAATTAGCAGCTAAGAATTTTATGATTAAAGTTTATGATGAATCCTTTAAAGCATTTTTGCTCACAGTATGTGTTCCATGGCCATGAAAAAGCGGGAAGTCAAGGAAAAAATACAGGAAATCAAATCAAGAGGGGGAAAAAAAAATTCTTTGAGAGAAAGTGTAACCATTAAAAAAAGCAAATTGTAACTTAAGTAGGGGGAAGATAGGGGTGTGCCTAATGTCACTCAACAGACTTATGGTAAAGAAGAAAACAGATTTCCTGACTGCCTGTCCTATAGGCAGCACTGGAGTCCAGTCACCCCCCTGACATGTTCAGTATCACTGTTTGTCCAAGAGCTTTTGAATCTTGTGGACTGAATTTTACCAGCCTTTTAATGACTTTTAAAAAAATAACAAAACAAAACAAAAACAAACCCAAAAACCACACAAAAACCAAAAAACCAAACCTGAGAAAGTTGAGAAGAATTCCACCTTCAGTAGCACAAGTAAGACTGAAACATGCCAACTATGTGAGCATAAAGCAGTCAGAGAGGAATTGAGCACATAGTAAAAAAAGTGTCCAACCACCCACTGCTGGCAGGTCTCGAGAAAACCTTCCATCTGGGACATAAATCAGGGCTGGACTTTAGACATACCTTTCCCTGTGTCTTTTGCGCTCTAGAGCTGAGAATCAGTATGTTTGCTTATAAACACGAGGAGACTGAGATTAGAAGCCAAAAAAAGCTGTCATTGATGTCAACGACTGTCATCATCCTGAGGCCCAAAATGTGTTTTCAGATTTCACTCACAAGACTACTCCCAGGCATCCTGCTACATCTCCTTTGGAGTTAGTTCAATTAAAACTCCTGACCTGCCTATGTTTTTGACATTTTAAACATCCCTGAAAGGTATTCAATATGGATAAATCTCTAGGGAAGGAATTTCAGTGTTGAAAATGTAAAATATTTTGTAGAATATAAGTGAATGGGCCTGGGAAAAGCAAAAAAACTATTAAAATCCTCGGAATAAGGAAAAAAGTAAAAGCCAGGTAAAATATGCTGAAGCAAAACCAAAACACAGCATCAAACTAAGCAAAAGCTATGAGTATGACTTATGTATGTGGATTGGAAAAACAGAACAAGATATTTGAGTCTTGAGAACTGTATAATCAATCTGCTTTCCATTTTTACATGTTTCTAGTTCTTAGACAGTATATCATCCCTACATCTGGATGGTTTGGAGTAAAGCATGCTTCCACATTTATACACAAGTACATTTTTCTCTTTTTCTCACCAGGAAGAGTCCATATTGTTCACCACACTGCCTGCAGTGTGGTTGTATATATGTATACACACACACACACACACACGTATATTGCACACTCGCATTCTGATAGACCAGCTCAATATAAAGTTTATTTGCCTGCTACAGCACCTCTGTAGAAATGCCTTCCATCTCCTGGGACGTAGAGGAAGCTATTATTAATCAAACATTTTATTATTACTACACCAAAATAATGCTAAGTGATATTAATGATTAAAAGTACAAGGTTAAAAAAGTATAAAAGCAATCAAATGCTTATAATCTGGTCTGAAAGGTAGAGAACACCTCTAAGTTATAAGAAAAAATGGCTTTAAAGCCAGGACCCATTATATCATTTAATGTGAGTTGCTAATTTTTTAGCATCTAAACCACCACAGCATTAGGGTACTTATGTTCAGTTTATGCATTACGGAACTACTTCATGTGTAAAGAACTACTTTTGTGAAACATATTTTTTTTACCAGTAGACTTAAGTATCTCAATGTTTTAACGGATTATCATCGTTTCCATTACTTCATGGATTTCCATGGTTTATTTTAATCTAAAATTTAAACATTTTCCCATGTTAAAAAAAAAATCTTTATTCAATCTATTTTAATGGGACCATTACTTTAAGAAGTTACTATGATACAAAAGAAATTTTCAAAACCTGACACCCTGTGTTTTGCAACATATTCCAAAGGGGTTTTTTTCCTTAAAATCACTTTAGATTGACATGTAATTTTTAGTGTGATTTTGCGCATGAATTCTATGTACTGCCAGGTTTTATTTTCCTTTGCTGTTCCTCTTTCAGCTGTTTCATATACAGACATAAGTTAACAGAGAGGTGATCCTGGAAGCTTTTTTTTTTTTTCTTTAACAGAACTTGGATAACTAGAATGAAATGATTCTTTATTGATGTGATAAGAAAAAAAATCTAAACCATCAATTAACAGGTGTTAACTCCAATTTACCTTAGCACTTTTAATGTTTTATCACATGGCATATTTGTAACTGAAACTAAACTACTGGAGAAAGCTAGAGACAGTAATGGGTATACTAAGTCAACTTAAAACAATGAAACTTTCAATTTCAATTCAACTGGAACATGTTGGGTTAGAAACAAGTGGCATATATATGGCTGTGTCATGCTATGTAAAGAACATGTAACATAGAGGAGGAACTCTCTCAGTGGAATCAAATAGGTTGCCAAATATCAACAAAATTAGAAGTCAGCTATGCATGTCAAAAGTGTTTTCTCACAAGTGTCCAAAGAATTCCAAAGAAAAGCTAATAAATCTACCTATGTACACAGTAAGAGCATGTAGAATGAAGAGTAAAAACTGTGATCCAGTGAAGCATTCCAAAATGAGGTCTGAGCTAACCAAAACCAAAAGACAACTGATTTTTAAACCCAGGGCTTGCTCCCACTGAAGTTCACGGCAAGTTTCCATTGATATCAGTGTTGTAGGAATGATCTCTAATACTGTAGTTTCATGTCTAATCTATATTACTGGGTTTTTTGGGCACAATTCAACTTGGAATGCAGTAGCATGAGTAGCGTGATATGAAAAGTGTGTTTTGTTTGCAAACTTGGAATGAAATCTGACTTGGACTAGATTGCACAATAAAGAAGCCAGCAAAAGGGAATTTGACACTCACCATACTGGCAGGAAAAAAAACTTAGTTTGTCAAAACTAGAAGATTAAAAATACTTTGATACTGTTATTTGAAATTAAAATCAACAGGAAGAAAACAAAAGTGTTAAACTGTGCCAGGCTACTGGGATCTCTGGTTACTGAACATTATCTTCTTCAAAATTGCTTGAACATAGTAATAAAGCTAGTACCTAAAAATACTGCAGAATTAAAAAAAAGTCTCACTGGCTACAAAATATAAAACCTATTAATTCTTTATACTACCATGTTAAATCTCAAACTATCTTTGACAAATCCTCTAGTCTTTCTTCTGAGCTATTACTGAACTAACTGGGGGGTTTCAACCCTTATTTAGCACAGTACTCAAACAAGTTCTCAACTTTATACACATGAGAAAACCTAAATCCTTATCTAAATTTGATTTCATTGTAAGTTAAGCATAAGTTTATGACAGAGCAAGCACTCTCGTGATTTGTTGAACTAGGAACTTGATTACTACAGATGGGAAGAGATCCCTCTGACTTCTTTTGTTCTAACAGGTGCTAATTCCTCAGTTTTGTCAGGTCACAATCGTGTGCCTGTAGCAAAATAGGGATAACAGTTATTTAAGAACAAGAGCTACCATTTTGTCAGGTCATTATTCAAGGATAGTACATGTGGAGAGGAAAATGTAAAATAAAAAGAAGCATGGCATGAGTCAGATTCTTAATCTATTACTACAGACTAATATGATATGCGTATTTTCACATAATTACCATAAGCATATATACAGAAGATTAAAAAGCTCAAAATTAATTTTGGACAGTATATTTGTGCTCAATTCAGCCAGCTACTGGTGCTAGCAAATATTTATATTAACGATTAACTTTGTGCTATGGGAGTTAATGTACTACATATGAGGTATGAAATACAACACTGGGTTTGGAAATATCTGTTAATCAAATAAAGTATCATTGACGTTAATGTTTTGCCTACTTCAGCAATAGGTCTTAGTCATGACTTGGCATCGCAATGGTCATGAAGTCTTTGATCTGTTTCCTGACCTGCCAAATAATATCAGTCAAAGCAAAGTGGGGAAATGGCAGTTTCAATGAAGTGGATGCTCTTTCAAACTCAACCAAGAGGAAGTCACCATCTCTGCTTGTGAAGACTTTTGGTTGCCATTGATCAAATACAGAGCAAATTCAATGACCTAAAGTTAGAAGGATCTATCACATGCTAATAATTCCTTGAGTCAGTTAACCTGGTGTAGTTTATTTATTCCCAGATAGTATCATAAAAATGGGTCAGTGCTAATTAATAAGAAAGTATTTTCTCCTGTTTATCAGTGATATCATGTGCAAAGTGGAAGGTAGCAGATACTAGCAATTCACTATAAAATAAAAAAATAAAACCTTTACCCTAATGAAGAGGATCTTCTCTCCAACTCTGTATCTTCCTTGTGAAAGACGCTCCACACAGAACTTATTAGGGCATTTACAAGGTGGATCTTCAGAAATGTGTTTAACCTGAAAAATGCAGAAGCTATTAATAGAAACCGTTTAAAATAGCGTATGTAGCAAAACATTCAAGAAAACATTTGCCATAACATGATATCACTAATCTAAGTCTTTATGTATCATAATTTTTTGGTGTTTCTTAACTTTAGTATTTCTGTAATCCTAGACTACAATGATTCCAATATCAAGAACCATTTTACAGTTGTGATGAGGTAAAAATAGAGATGAGTGTCACACAGCTAAACATAAAATTTGCAGTTTAGCAGATGTCAAACAGTTTGTTAATTTGAGTTCAGCATCAAAATTTGTAGAGTGTTCTCAGTATTTTATAGTGAATCAGCTCAACTGTCAAAGTGCTAATATAGCTGACAGGCAAAAGGAAGATGTCATGTATTTTCCCTTCTAATAAATATAGTAAATAAAGAAACATCTTGCTTATCAATAAAAGGCCCTGCCCAATACCTTCACTTGGCACTTTCAAAGAGTGCACTTACACCTTAAAAGAAGTATACAGAGAATACTATGACATAAGCTCAAATCTAATCCAAGATGCTCCTCAGCATTGCTGACTACCCTTTGATGATCTCCACCTTAGAGCATTAGCACATGGGTAATTTAAAGTGGCCTCAAGAGTACTCTATTTTATCATTGCCAACAATAAGGGCTGAGAAAATAGAGATGAAAACTACTTTCCTGCTTTTTATCAGCTGCATCAGCTTGACTTCAACGTCCTGTGAAAACTTGGCCTTGCATGTACTACCAAAGGCATTAATGTTTAGTATATTTTGTACTGTTCAGTGATCTGAAAGTAGCACAGCCATCAATGCCAAAAAAGCAGATCTACTTGAGAAACTCTTACTTGTCTTATTTGACATTCAAATTGCATTACTGCATAGGAACAGCAATAACAAGTGCAGCATATTCATATATTGCAGTTTTCTTGGATGAATGGTGACCTAGTAAGTCAATGTCGATCAATGCAGAATGCCAGAGGAACTTCCTAGACATTTTGTCCATTTCAAATAATATTCCAAAGACCTTTTCAAACCCAGTTTGCAAAGCAAAACCTGTAAAAACAGTCTGAGGTTTGGGAAAGAATATTCTCAGAACAGCTAACAAATTAGTCTTAAGCTGTTTCAGAAAAAAAAAAATCAGAACAAAGCTATAGCACTCTGATAGGTGTTTTGGTGATCTTCAATACATGAACAGGAAAGGCATTTGAAGTACAACAAATGTTTTTCATATCTGCTTTTAAAATGCAGTTCTAGTATGTTAAATAAACCAGAATTTAAAAGTTGACCAGTTATTTTCTCTGTACTAGAATGGGTAGCAAAAATACTTTTGAAACCAGCCCTGTTGACCATTTTAAAGGCTTGTCAGTTATTTCTAAAATTGTTCAATGTTGTTATCTCAATTACTTTATCACTATTATTTATTACTTTTTTGTAATAATAATTCTTAGCTTTTTTTTTCCCTTCTCATTAGGGCATGATATTTTTGTGACAAAAATATTTTTTAAATAATATTTAGTGGAGGAGCTCAATGCTTATTTTACATACAAAATGTGCTCCTCAAGTATCAGATGAGTTGTCCTCCATTTGAAAGTACAATAGCTGAATTATTTTAAGATTAATTATTCCAGTGATTTTTATCAACAATGAGCGTTAGCCTCCATTTCTGGAGAATAAAGCTATTTAGGTAGTCAGGGTACAACATTAATAACTTATATGAAGTCAGTAGTCAATGACTTAAATCCAAGTGCTGGTTGCTAAGGATGAATAAGGTACATTTCTGTATCTCTTGGAATGTGTTACCAAGATTCGGATTGTGCTTAGATGACCATTTAGTAACGGCCCTCTGAGTGCTGCTGCTCATCAGGGATTTCTGACATAATATCCTATGGCAGTCATCACCTCTGGAGACACTCTTGAAATTCAAAGCTAAAAATGGATAGTGTAAACTATGCCTTAATAGCTGCATCTACCGGGGTTCACCTAAGCAAGCGAAAAACCAGAGTAGCTGGACCTAAAAAGTTCAAGGTTGTTTTGAACTGTGTAAGCAAAGTACAGCCACTGTAGGCCTGTTGAGAACAAAAGCCAACAGATTTATACTGGTTCACTGCTGATCCTGCTGCTGAGGCTTCCATTACCTTACTATCCCAAAGGACACAGAAATATTATTGAGTGGAATTTGGAAATCAAGTAAGGAAGCAGAGGGAAGAATTATATCCTATTTTATTTTGTGTCTGGACTATGTGAGCACTGCTGCTATTTTATGGTGTGAGTGTCTGGGGCAGTGCAGGTCAGGAATCGAGCTGGATGAATTCCATTCTGTTTCTAGTCCCACTGCTTTCTAAATTGAAGGAGGTGGTTGGAGACAACCTTCATACTCTCTGTTCTGTTCCTACAAGATACACAGTCACAACCCACCTTCTACACGTAACTGTTCTTTCTCAGTTCTGTTGAAACATAAGGGAGTGCTTTTGCAAAGTTAAGAAAGAAATACAAAATGTAAAAAATGTTAAATGTAATTATTTGCATCAAATAGTACAAAGTATTTCAGTGAAATGAAAAAACATTATATTCCATCTGCTCTTTGAGACAAAAAAGTGGCACATGGATTTTTCAAGAAGTGCTTTGTAACTCCCAGGTGGCACATCTACCTTGTAATATAGCAGTTACTATAGTAACGGTTTCTTTTTATAGAATATAGTTGTACTTCCCAAGTTTAACCCTTTCATGGTTTCAAAACGAGTGCTTTTCATCTGATTCCAGCTGTTTCAAATGAAACCCTCTAGGGCTTGCAACAGAGACAGGAACACTACAATATAGTGCAAAGAGTTTAATGAAATTCAAAGCAAGATACTTGCTTTCTAACAATACAGGAAAAAATGCTTGGTTTTTTACTACATGAGAAACATGCAGAACAGTAGCACCAAAAAAAGGCTGAGATAACTGAGAAGTGTTTGTTAACATTCCGTACAAGTCGGTATGGGCCAAATCTCCTAGTCCTGACTCAGTCCTTTCTCAGACAAAACACCAAGTGGGAGTTGATGAATAAGAAGTGAACAGAAAAAGAAAAGAGAGTAACAAAAAGGGAACTTGGCCCTCAGCACAAAGCTAGACTATACTACAGCTCTCCTACACAGTGCGACATTTTTTCCAAACATAATAATTTTCTGCATAAATAATTGCGGGCAAAATAAATGAACTCCATCAGTCTGCAAATTTCTAAAATACAGTGAGATGTTTAACTCAGGCTTCTGTGTCATTTACAAGTACATGCATACCAGAGGGGGTCAGATAGGAAGAAGCTTCCTCCTACAACTTACAGCATCATCCAACAGCTTCCCTGTGCTCTTTTTCCCAGGGGACTTTGTTGGTGATGGTGAAGGAGATGGAAGGGGGGCTGAAAGCGTTTCCTCTTGTTCAATCTCTTTTTCCAACTTTATTAATCCAGGAGGCTCCACCCCAAACCTATTGGAAACATGCAAACAAATAACTAGTCCTTGTAAAGTACTACATACTTTAAAGCAAAACTGTATAAAGAATTTATGCTTTCTGTATTGCACTATTTTGCAATAGTAGATTGCTACATACATTAATAAACAAGTATAAAATATATCAATCATTAATACAATCATTCCAAATTAATACAAAGAATGAATTCAAATGGCATCTCTCAGTTGATCAAGTTTACAGGAAACAGTTTTTCTTCAGCTTCTCTGTCTGATAATATGTGTGTTGGTGAATGACTCATTTATGAGCAGTACTAGGCCTCAAAAATTGCTGTACAATGTGGGACAGATTCAAGTTCAGTACACTTTCATTTTTTCTATTTTTTCTTCCCTCCTCCTCCAAAAATCCTTTCAAATGATTTGACAACTTTTATTTTCTGTTAGTATTTTTCAAAGAAATACAGATGGAAAGGAATTAAAGGTTATCCTGGCCTCAACTATTGCATTGAATTTATAGATAAATAAATTGAGACACAGCCAAGTGGCTAATGCTTCTTCTAACTGATTTTTGACAGCCAATCTTCAGATCTCTGTTTACAGTGGCAAAACACTTGTAGCACCAACTAAAACAAAATACATGCAACTTTGGCATGGAGCACTTCAAACACATGGAGAGTGAGACTCTAAAACAATTCCTGCTTTTGAAAGCTTCAAGGCAAGTGATTAAGTCAGTACCTCACTGCAAGCAGCAAAGCTTGGACAGAGTCAAGAGTCTGAAAACCCATCCCATTTTCCTTATCACTGATAATTCCCTTCTGGGTTTTTTTTGCGGTTTTTTTTAATTTATTTTTTATTTTGTCAACTTTGTCTAGTGCTCAGAAAAATAGAAAGATTTCCCTTTTCAGCAGCTTGAACAAGTTATCATGCCAGGTGGGTTTCTCATAGCAAATTACTGGCATAAACAAAAACTTACTTTCTTCTGTAGTGGGAAGTCCATAGCCCAGATGCAGAACTATGCTGACTTATCTAGGTAAGGATCTGGGCACTAAAATCTTGAGCAGTAACAAACGCTTTATGACAATCTAAGCTAATTACCATAAATAATGTTAAAAGTATACAGAAAAAGGGCATAAGAACATATACTGGTTTTTATATTTTTAATTTAGTCACACTACTGCCTATTAAATTAATATAAATGAAACAAAGAACCAAATCTGTGCTTGTATTGGCTTCTAACTGGGGCAGTCTGCCTAATGAAAAGTCAGCCAACATTGAAGCGAGCACTTACATACAATCCATCTACTTCCTGTCTGTCTGCAGATGCCGACAGGCTGTAAATCATTAAATTCCCACTGGGCTCTAAGCCTACACCTGCATGCAGCCTTACTCATCAAATAAAACTCTTCCACTCTAAGCAATGCTGCTGCTTTGCTTCAACTGCTTTTCATAATCTCCAATTTTTGCCATTGTGACATACTTTTAAAGTTCCCTGTACTTCCAGTATTCTGAATTCCTCCTGTGAGGAGTTGAAAAATAAAGCGAATGAACAAACATACATGCACTTTTTTCCCCACATACTGTATAAATATGAAGCAAAGTTGCTGGAAAGTTGAAATGGTAAAAACCACGTCATTTCTGGGAGGCGTAGAGGTGCAAATTCTGTTCTGGATGGTATGCTGAGAATTTCCTTTTCTGCTCTTTTCTAGCCTACCTTCTCATAACTACAAATGAAGCAGCAGCAGACTGTAACATGATCTCCAATAGGCTTCTTAGAGAACCACTTCCCATTTTTACCAAGGAAAACTTGAATAAAATAGCAGAAAGATCTTGAAATTGCTCAATAGTAATTTCAAAAGACTTATGGGGGTTGTATAACCCTCTAGAGTTTAACAGTTACCCAAGAACTTCATTCTTCCAGCAGAAAATTTAGCTGTTTTCCATCGTATAATCTCTCTTTAAACACACACATATACATCTATTTGCAAATAATTACATTTTTCATGAAGTCTTGATTATGAAGATTACAGAGATTATGATAGATTCTGCTCTCACTTTAGTTTAAATGATTAATTCTGGCTTTAAAATACTTTGGGAGAATGTTGGACCTGTGCAACCCATGCCATAGTCATGTGTATTGACAGTGTTCAATTTCATTCTGTAGGACACTTCCCTGTCTGATAAATGTTCTCATTCTGCCCAAGTGATATCTGCCAGTGTACACAATGGCCTATTTTAGCTATTGAAGTTTCACAGATGACATCAGACTTTTTTTTTCATAAACAACCGAGACCCAGGATAATTTACAGGGCTATTTTATTTTTATTAGTACCTGGGCTTTGAGCTGCCACTCTTTGACCGAAGTGGTCACACCAATTTTCTACTCACTGTGCAGTCTCTCTCTCTCCAATTTGACTAAAAGGACACCATGAAAGAATATGCTAAAAAGCATTGCCAAAGCATAGGTAAATTATCAACTGCCTCCTCTCATCCACAGAGTTGGATGGGTTGGAGTTTAAGTCTAGCAGAACAAAGATCAATTCTAACTCTGCC